AAAAAAAAACAGTTAAGTGCAGATGGAGATGACTCCCAGGCTCACTGAGATAATTCGGTCATTTTGTTCTCTCTTATTCAAAGAAATGTTCTCTGTGCACCACTTCAGAATGACCCTAAACTAGACCGGGACAACAGTGAATTTAAAAAAAGATGTGTTTTGCACAATGTGGAGCCAAAAGATCATGTTAACTGAAGAGTTACAAGACTGTTCAGGGAGGTCATCTACACACAAATACAAGTATACACAAAACGATGCTGTGCTGATGTGTTTTCAGCTTTGACATTTTGCAAACAGAATTTCTCACAATAACCTTTCTCGGTTACTTTTCTTTTTACTTGCTTAAAATTTATTCTGGGCTCCTTTTCCTACCGTAAAGCAATCCAGTTGGGTTTTTTAGAGCTTGGTGTTTGATTCACTAAAAGAAGCCATTTTCACATTAATAATGGTGCGATTTTAGCAGAGTTTATTTAGGTGGATCCAAAGCTTTTCTTAAAAAGGCCAGTGTTTAAAGACTATGCTTGTACACAAGTAGTATTGCAATTAGCTATATGTGTTCTCTCATTTTCAGTCATAAATACAAAGCCAACCTAAAACAGTCAAAACGCTTTGTAAGTAAATAAAAATAAAACATAAGAAAATAATTACAAAATCTCATAAGTCTAGATTTTATTCACAATACAACACAGAAAAAAATGTCAAATGTTTAAACATTTTAATATTTCAGCAAAAATATTAGCTCATTTTTAATTTGATGTCAACAACACACCTAAAAAGGTTTGGACATGGCCACGTTTCCATCTGTGTAGGTGACCAGTGTCTGGATTTTTGGGAGAGGAATGCTGTCCCGTTTTTGTCTGATATAGGATTCTAGTTGTTCAACAGTCCTGGCTCTTCTTTGTAGTATTTTTCATTTCATTATGCTTCAAATGTTTGTGTTGATGGAACATCTGGAGTGAAAGCAGGCCATTTCATTCTGGACTCTTCTACTACAAAGCCTTGCTGTTCTTATAGCTGGAGTACATGTTTTGCATTGTCTTGATAAAACATTTAAGGGTTTTCCTGGGAAAAAAAAACACCATGTTGCTCTAAAACCGAGCGCTGATAACAAGCCTGATGGAGCCTCTCCTCTTCGCTCTGCAGGACTTGGAGTCCATGTATTGTAAATGAATTTCAAATTTGGATTCAGCAGACTACAAAACAGTTTTCCACTTTGCCTCAGTCCATTTTAAATGGGCCTTGGCCCAGAAGATGGTGATATTTCTGGACCATATTCACAGATGGCTTCTTCTTTGCACCATAGAGCTTTAACCTCCATTTGTGGATGGCACATTGAACTGTGTTAACAGACAGAGATTTATGGAAGTCTTCCTGAGCCCATGCAGTGTTTTCCATGACAGAATCAGGCCTGTTTTTAATGCAGTGCTGCCTGATTTTGATTTTTTTTTAGCCTTTTGTTTCCCAATCCCAAGTTTTTTGATAGTTGTTGCTGTCAGCAAGTTCATGAAATAGTGAAATGTCTCACAAGTTTTTTTTGGTGGTTCTGTGGCAAATTCTCGTATCTCAAATCCAGGGTGTTAAATATTGAAATCCCAGTTTTTTCTGCTGTTGTCTCTTTATAATGTCAGATATAGCAGATATTCTCAATCTGGTAATAAGACAAATGCCCCTGTCTAAGCACAGAAAATGCAACTAATGTGCAAACCTTCTGTGTGGCAGCCAATCAGAAGATCTGCATGGAGCAACATTAGATAAATAAATTAGAACTAGAACTAATCTAGTAGCAAAAATATGGAGCTGGACATCACAGAGAGACTACTTGAAATGCTTTTTACATTTTATTTTATGTGCGTGGCATTATGTGTTAATCTGATGAGCATTCATCACAGCCTGATAAAGGTAATTATCGCTGAAGACAGCTGAGTGATATGTTGCTTCTAGCTGAAGATACTTTATAGAAAAGTAGCGGATGTCTCCTAATTTTAGTTCAGACTTGAGGGTGATTGGATAAGTGAGTCCTGTCTTGTACATATGCACACATTAGCAGAAGCTGCCAATCATTTGGTGTGTGTCTTGTGAATGCTATTTGCACTGATGATTGAAGCAGTGCTGATTTATTGATGGTTCAGTTGCACATAAAGGCTATTTGTAAAATGTACAGTGGGCTGGATTCACTTGGGATGCTGCTCATAAATGTAGTTTTGTAGACCATCACAGTTTGGCATTCCATCCCTCCCAACAACAACATGAATCTCATCAATTTAATGGTTGTTTGCACAACTGAGTTGGGCGGCACAGTGAATACTGATTAGAACTTTATGTCTGCTTTTCTGTTCGCAAAGGAGGCTATGCAGCTGCATGACAGCATGGGCTTTTCCTCTGAATTTCACATTTCTTTACTGCTTTGCTGTGGAGGAGGAGTGGGGGGGATTTCTTGGAAGGAGGATTTTATTTGCGCCACTAATACAATTAAATGTTAATGAGCCATTGTGGACTGCAAAATGGGCATCCAGGGGAATGAAAGGGTGTTTTCCATCCTACTAAGTTATGGTTCTGGCTATACTGACTGCTGCACTGAATAATTGAAAGACGCATGCCATCATCACTCAATGATGCTCCAGTTTTTGAACATGTCTGAGAACAGAAAAAGAAATTTTCATTCATAAAGTTTAAATACCTGTGGTCAACCATCCAAAGAAATGGACAGTGCACAAGAGAGATGGAAAAGAGAGAGCAGGCAGGGTGGAGTAGGTGGATTCAAGTTTCAGGGTGATTTGTGATGGAAGGATAGCTGCAAGAGTGAAAGCGAAGGTTTTATCAGATTGTAGTGAGACCTGCTGTGATGTATGGTTTGGAGACATTGGCACTGATAAAGTGATAGGAGGCAGATTTGGAGTGGGCCGAGCTGAATGAAGACCCACAGGACCTAAGGAGAGGATTAGAAATAAGTACATCAGAGGGACCGCTCAGGGTGAGCGGTTTGGAGACAAAGTTAAAGAGGCAAGGCTGAGATGGTTTGGACATGAGCTGAGGAGGGATATTGGATATACTGGACAGTTGAATATGGAGCTGCCAGGCAGGAGGGATAGAGGAAGACCACAGGGAAGACTCGTGGATGTAGTGAAGGAGGGCATGCAGAGGGCTGGTGTGACAGAGGAGGATGCTAAGGATACGATGAGATGGAGGCAGATGATCCTAAAACGAGTAGCTGAAAGGAGAAGAAGAAGAAGAATACTGAATGTGATGATAGACTCTAAATAATTAATCCATCATTAAAATATGAAATACATTTAAAATATGCATCTGTGTGGCATCTATTGGATGTATTGTGTAATTGACAAAAGAGCAGACTGTTAAAAGACCAAACTGAACTATATTCCAGTGGTTTGAACCGATACTGCTTGTTTTCTTAACCTCTTAAGCCCCAAGCCTAACTGATCTCCTGCCTTTTGCCCCTGCATCAGGGGGCGTTGGGGCTTAATTTCAGTAGTATTTGTGGCTTAAAACTTCAAACAAGTACACAAAAAGAGACTTGGATACAGCATTTTGACTCACCTTGTTGGTTACAGTGCTGGCTACACATTAAAAACCTCAGTTTCCTGCACATTGTAATTTCATTGCACCTGTTCTTCTGTGTTGGCATGCTAGGTGAGCAATGGCGCAGAGCAACCCAGAAAACAGCAGCGGTCCGACCTCAACGTCCCCCTGGAGAACAACAACGTACCAGAGGTAAGACGTTCTCTGGATATCCTGTCGCAGCATTTCCTTCTTTGTCATTTATCTGCCCCGAGGTTGTTTGCACAGGATATATTGTTGTTTATGTGTGCGTGCATCCATATGGTTATGTTTGTGCGTGCATGTGTGTGTGTGACCATTTAAGTAAATGAGTAATTGTGTAATTACAACCTCAGCTCATGTCCTCTGCTTTCGGCATGATAGCATCCTGATAATTGACTAGCATTCTGCTTGTGGTTTTATGAGAGCCATTTCTCATCGAGACGTCTGCGGTGGGAGGATGCCCCCGTTCCACCCTCCCACCACCCTCCCTCCACCCTTACTTCCTTGTCCTTGAGGGGAGTAGAATCTCTGAATATGGAGGGAAGGCTCAGTGGTATCACCAGGATCAGTGTTTGAATCTCATGAATCTCCCTGTGGCCATCTAAAGCTTCCTCATCCCTCGTGGATACGATATCTCTTTGCAGTCGGGCTTTTCCGGCTTCCATAGTGCTTTTTAGCAAGTCAGGCACGTGGAGATTCTGGAGCTGCAAGGTTTAAATGCTTTTATCTGTGTCAGTGTTCATTTTGACAGCAAATTCTGATTTAGCTTTAGTCATAGTCTTGTGACTAAAATGTCGTGCAGCTGCAGTCATAATTTAGGCATCTAAGTTCTTTTAGTTTCAGTCTAGTTTTATTTGACTAAATGTCATAATTATAATAGACTAAAACTTCAGTTTGCCATGCTATTACTGGTGAGAGTTGCTCCACATGGTTTACTAATCATATTATTTTCCTTGACATCAAACGCAAAGGGTGTCTGTATGTGTGGAGAAGAGGAACTAGTTGTACTGTTCCCCAGCGGCAGATCAAATGTTCACATTTAACCTTACCGCACAAGGATCTTACTTCTGATTGGATCACTTCCCAACTCGTCCCGCCTTTCTGCACAACTTAATTAGTTCTGATTGGATCTCGTCTCTGCAGAACATTTTCATCTCGTTTTTGTTTGTTGATGATTGTGTAAATACATTTCATCATAGTTTTTGTCTATGAAAGGAATAATTCTGTAAATTTGGCGTCACTGGTCTTTCAACTATTGTGAAAGCCTTGCTTTGCTAGTGTGTCTTTCATTATGGCATATTTGAAGTCAAGTTTATTTAAAGAATTTGAAGTTTAGCACGTTTATTTTGAAACAGCAGAGAAGTACAGTATGTAATTCACTGTAAGTCTATTCTTAACATTTATCTGCTATTACCTGTTTCTGTCTTCCAGCCTACAAAGAAGGTCGCATCCTTCCCCAGCTTTGTCGACGGTAAGTTCATCTGCACATCTGTTTGGTGGTGAAATTCAAATTTTGGAATAAAAACCAAGTAATCACAATAAGTTACACTACTTCCCTGCCTTTGGGCATGATCTAGGGCTAACAGTATGTTTTAAAAGGCTTTAGTTGCCATCAGATCATGGTGGCACATTGTGCTCCAAAGTGGGTGTCTGAGAGTCCACATCTAGATATCACAGGATATCACAGATGCAGATTAATCACAGCTCCTGTTAGCACTGCACCTCCATTAGCTCACAGCCGGTGGCCATTTCACTGCTGAGGCCTATCCAGCCGTTTATCACTATATCTCCAGTGTTTGGCTTCTTTTTCTTCACGCAGCACACTGACTGCAGTAATTAAAATACCTTCTCCGCTGCACGCTCCACCCTTTCAGTCTAAACATGCTTTGTCTTTCCCTTTGTCTCCCTCTTAATCACCATCCTCTCTGCCTCTCCCTGGCTCAGTCCCAGGACCCTGTGAGCCAGAAGACCTGATTGATGGGATTATCTTTGCTGCTAACTACCTGGGCTCCACTCAGCTGCTGTCTGAGAGGAACCCCTCCAAGAACATCCGAATGATGCAGGCCCAGGAGGCCGTCAGCAGGGTCAAGGTACTCAAAAACACCCACTCGTGCACCGATTCACATACGAAGACACAGTTACCGCTGCATTTCTGAGTCATACAGACAATCACACTTCCTTGTGCTTTCACAATATAGGTGTCACAATATACTGGTGATAGTAAATAATATGAAATAGCAATATCATGTCAGAAACACGGATATGACAACATGATGATAACAACCCAGTGGCAGCACAGCCATGATTCAGCTCAAGAGTCGAGTTTATTGCAACTCTCCAATTTAATCTGTGCTCACCTACACAGTTGGAGTCAGGCTGTTGTTGGGTTGTTAAGTGAAGCAGTTGGAGATGAGCAGGCTGGAGTTAAATTCTTAATTTAATTACCAATTTGTTGTCTGCCCTTGTTACTGCTTTTCCTTGCTTTCTTAATACTAGCCTCTTAAAATGTGCAACTGTGCCCTGCGCCTTGTGCTCTGCACTTTCCAGCTGGCTCGATTGAGTTACAAGAGTTTGCTGCTCTGTTCTAGCTGTGCAAACTGAGCACTGCACATGTCAGTGACATTTGGTCAGGCTGGTTTAGGCTTGTTATTTGCCTTATTAGAGACAACAGAATAATCTTTTCAGATGTTCCGAAGACATTTACACAGTTTGTTGCTTCTGTTAGATTACTAATGGCTTTATCCTTTTTTTTTCTTTTTTAAAAAAAAAAAGATTGCAACCCACCTCCTCTCTGCACCCACATGGTTCACATAGCCTCTGTGTCAGATCCACAAAGCACAGCAATAAATAGAGCTAAGTATGCTAAGGTATGCTGAGGAGAGGACACAGAGGGAGACAGAGTGAACCGATAGCAAGGCTTAAGAGGGCTATATATACACGGAGAATTGATTGAATGATGAGAAGTACGTGGAAAACTCTGGGGATAATGCGGACGATCACAAAGGAGTAAAAATGCAGCTGTCAAAGTTAAATAGAAAGTAAAAAAAGACACGAATCATTGTAACAGAAGGCAGAGGAAGGAAATAACAAAGAGCAAATAAGTTTCACAGAAACCACAGGGACCAGTTTCATTTCTTTTTTTCTTTATTTTTTGCAATATTTCCTATGGCTAACATAATTATGTAGGGAAAATCTCACATCGTGACAGCCCTAACAACATTAAAGACTAATTTTGGTTGCAAAGTGTTTTTCCTCTGGTTCCATAATGCTTTGTAGTCCCTAATTGAGTCTGAAGAACTGTGAATATCAGAGCCAGCTGGGTCGGTCATGGGTTGTAATTTACAGCTGCCCTGTTGGGTAGTCAGCCACATCATTTGTAACTTCAACAAATATTGATGATGAGAAGTAGCACTAGTAGCAGCAGTGAGGTTGCGGTAGTCCCAAGTCACCAGGAAGTACTGCCGGTGATCCTAAGTATCTGGAAATATGTATTAGTTGAATAAACAGTTCCTCCAGTAGGAAGCTGCTGAGAGGCCGTTCCCTTCGGACGGAGCTTTTTATTCAGTGACGGTTCTCTAATTTCTAACAGATGTGCCATCATTCTGTTGTTGTTTAAGCAGCACCAGAAACATTCAAATGTACCTAAAGACATATAAAAGGACATAGAAGCCTTACAGGAACACTCAGTGGCATTACATGACTAATACAGAGAGTGTATTCCTGATACAGTGTCATTTTTCACATTACTGTACATGCATAGAATGGGAAAACACAAACAAAATCCTGGTACTGCAGAATATTCTGTTATATTTAGTCATTTATAACAGCTATGACATTATTTCTTAACTCATACCCACAAACTTCCAAATGAAATATACAGTACATGGATATTAATTATTTTTTCTAAGCAGTATAGTCATGTATTAAGCATCAGTGGTCTTTTAGGGCAGCTGAAAAACTTGGCCAGATTAGACTTCAGGGCACGTGTGTTCGTCACAGCCGACTGGATAATGGGGCTTCTGGCATGTGAGCCTCCCTGCTGTTCACTAATATCATTACAAAAATGATGTTTCAGAAAAGTGCTGTGGATGGTGCTAGTGCAGCTCAAAGAGGCTCATTTGATGTTAGTTTGGAGAAGCTTTTCATCACTGTCCAGAGCTCTTGTGATAAAACATCTCTTATGACAAACTAGACTGTCAGACTTATGGTTCTGGTCACATTTATCTGTTTTGGGCTCGCAGTCCCTCTGCCAGGTGACTGATGTCATCTCGTGTCGTGACAAGATGACATTAGTGCTAACGTTCTGGTGCGTAGTTGCTAACCGAGCACCGGCCTCTTTTATCTCCCTCTCGTGTGAATACAAGCTTTGATGTTATTCTAAATATTGAATGACCGCCTCTGTAGTGGTCTACTTTTAGAAAGTTACATGCTGAAATAAGTCTTGTTAATCGACGTGTGACCAAAGTCTGTTTAAGCTTCTCATATTGGTTGTATTGTCTCCGTTTTAGCCACATTTTGCAGGTTTCTTATGCTTGTGTGAAATAAACAAACATATAATTTTGTTCATGTAATTATTAAGGGACAATCCTACATAATTAGAGTTTCCATAAGGTTTGTATATGAAAATATAGGGAAAACACACATAAACTCAAAGGAAAACGTATGTATCTTGACTGCGCTGACATGTTTCACAAATATAACACACATATCAAAGTGTAGTCACAGCCTGCTGCTTCATGGTACTCGGTGAAGCTGCTGTGAGGTGGCATTGATATCTAAAAAGACAATATGGCTAAACATTTATACTTTTCTTCAAATATTTAGGTTCATTTCAGCTCATTCACTGAGCTGAGCATGTGTACAGACTCATATGGATGCTGTGCTATCCTATGTCATGGTACTTAATGGGCAGGCTTAATAAATAGACATGTGCATGGGAGAAGAGAGAGTATATTTCTGAGCCAGTATTGAGCCAAAAAATAACATTATAACTACTGTTAGTAGCCCTTAGTCTTTTTATATGTCGCTGAATCAAAACGAAATAATCCACATCACTGAATTACTGAATTGATTTAACAGTAAATAACATGCACAGTAAAAATAAACAAATATATGCAATCGGGAAGTATACTAAAAACTGCTATAAGGTCATAAACGAACAAAATCACATATGTTACCATTTATAGCTTGAAAATGCCTATAAGTTAGTTAAATTTCCTGTGGTAACATCCAATATATTATTGACTACTATTGTCATTTATGATAAGGATTCGTTTTAGAGTTAACACAAGTATGGTTCACTAGACTGGTGTATGTCTAAAAATGGACTTCTCATGTCTTGTGCTAATAAACCCAATTTCCCAAATTCAGGAAGAGGACTGCTGATTGATCAGATGCAATAACATCCCTATTTGTCACATTGTCGGATCTTTGCTGACCGGTTAGGAGAAATCCAAATTCAAAGAGTCCAGTCCTACACCTGGTTCAGGGCCCGAATAGCCCGGGGGGAGAAGTTCCTCCTCATTCTCTCTGTTTTATCCATGTAGTTTTACAACTTCACAGTGAGGCGTGAGAAAGCCAGTTTTGATGTCAGTTTAAGTTAACATTTAGTTAGCATTTAAGCTTCCTTGCCCTATAAAGGGTTAAGACAGAACACTAATTATGTCGCATAGCCCTCAGCCCTATCCTTATTGTCGTGTTCTTCAGATTAGCTTAGGGTTGAGAGTTAGCAGTGCAAAAATATTAATACATATCAAAATGTTCCTGAGCATTGCTAGAAATGTGTAAGTGTTAATATGAAAAAAATGTAGTGTGAAAACGTCAATACAAAAGTTAATGGGTGTACATTTGTTTATGACTGTACAAATTTTGGAAAAGCTACCGAATGAATGTTTAGTTGATTTCCTTTAGTTATTTTTAATAGAATATCTATTAAAAAAAAGTTGAATCTTCAGTGTTGTCGGCCAGTCTTTCTGAAAGAGTTACAGTGGGTTTCACACATGCCCTGAAGGCCTGAATTTTTCGAGGCATCACCTGGAGAGGCAGTATGTGATAGACCAGCATGTGTCCAGATCAGTCAGACTCAACATTAAACAGACTTCATTCTGCCAGCTCTACACTACAAAGCCTGCGTGTGAATAGAGCAGGTACTGCAAGGGAGTCCTACCCCCTGCATCCTTACCCAGCATCCCTAAACCGCTTTTCAAGAAGTGAAGACATGACTGACACAAAGGTCTCTTACAGTGTGTTAATTAAACGTGTCATTCAATCAGCAGATTTCACTAAAGAAAGAAGGTTGTTTACAGCCTAGGAACTGAGACCTTGGTTGAACAGGCAGAGCTGCTGTAAACATTGCCCACAATGTCATCATCGCAACCATGAAGTGCAATTTACAGAACTGTGTCGCTGGCATGACTGTCCATGTGCACTTTTATCACTCGCTCTTTGCCACACAGTTGTCTGCCTGCACAAAATCTTCTCCAACCGACTGCAGCAAATCAGCCGTTTTCTCTCAGTGATTTCCCTCGATTGGCCCTTCATTATATAATTCATTTATCCCTTGTGAACCGAATGAATAGCACTATAGCAACCGACCTTAAACACTGAAATGGAGACTGTCGGCTTAACGCAAACCACACATAGAAAGAACCTCGTGTCCTCTCCTG